CCCCCCCCCCCCCCCCCCAACCCCACATTCCCAACTTAACTAAATATGTCATGGGAGATATGCGAGTAAACAGTCTTAGCTGAAACTGTAGAGCCAATAATGTTCGCAGTATTCATCATAGTGACAAATAGTGATGCAGCCAACATATAGTTTTTTCTCTTTTCTTTCATCTCAACTCATATTTGATGCCTTTAATCCTGATTTCCTTTTTCTCCCCAGTTCGCAGGTGATACTCAAATTCAAAAACATAACTTTAACATCTAAATCACATGTTGCAGCGACTAGAAATTTTGGTTCTTCAGTGAAGCATAAAGCATTCAAAACTTTCATGTCTTATCACTGCATGCTTGAAGGTAAAGGAAAAAGCAGCACAGTGTTTGCATCTTGTATCAGCAGAGATTATTGTATTCAACTATAATACATATCAAACATAAACCTACAATATTTCTGGGCCGATGGTGGAGGCACTATTCAACAAAGAGACTAAGGTTGAATCAGAGAGCTTTAACACCAACTTGAATTTGAATATGTTGTATCTTATTGATTGATTTACACGAATAAGTTGTACAGTGGTATATTTGTATACAAGACAAACAGAATCAATCCCCAAAGTTAAGGGATTAGAATCAGTGGATGAAAGAATATGTTATTGAGGAAACTAGATTATCTAGTAAAAGATACATGGATATTTACAGAGTCTGAATAAAGAACAGGGTAAGAATATAAACCTGTACTGGAAATTGAATTAGACTGATAATCACAGTCTTCCTGGTCAAGAGAGATTTGCCGAAGAGCAGCATTTCCTCTATCAATGACCAACAAGGAACAGGTGGGTCGAACATATACTACATCAAAATCATTCGAGAACTTAGCATCCTCACTAGGCCCATCTCTGTACCCTGCGACATTTGATTTTCCTCCAGCAATGGTCGTCACACCTAAAAATTACTCACAAAGATCAACAACAAAGTAATCATATCCTTTTTCACCATTCTCAATGACAATTCTCCCAGTACATTATGATCCCATCACCACTGGTAGCAGTGTTTGAATGAAGGAATTATCATTATGTCATGATACTGGGCTGGGAAATTCTTATGTAAAACAGTTTTAGTAGGTTCCAGTAAAAAGAATTCCAGAATTGCATCTTAGTGTACTAGTAACATTTCTATTGACACATTTTATGTTCAAATTCCATTCTAATATCGTCCGTTACCAAAACATCATGTTAGTAATGACTAATAAACAGATCTTGAACTATTGTAAGCTACAACTCATTATCACATACCAGAATCTCCAATCTTTCTGATCGCAAGATTCTGAGTATCAGCAACATAAACATTCCCCTTATCATCCACGGTTATGCCTTTGGGATGATTGAAACGAGCATCACTTGGTTTTCCATCCACATGACCAGTGTATCCCTGAAATGACCCTGCCACCAATCTTCCTCTACTATCTGCAGCCAGATAGCACAAATAGATAGCCGAAGGAATTAGGATCCCTAGAAGTAAGCCCAATCCAGAAAGATCAATTCATTTAAATTTACAATCAATCCCAAATTGTGTTTAACATGTCATATGGCATTCACTTACCAAAACTGTTTAGTGAAACACCTGGACAATATATCATATAAAGCTAAGACTTAGATTCCTCCCCCACCCCAACTATCAATTTTCTGCTAACTTGAACCAGGCAAGTGACCAAACTCGTGTTCCTTTTTTCTTTCAATCTTTTTATTATCATTATTACCGGCAACATCCAGAACCAATTGAAAATAATTATAGAAATAGACACATCCAGAAATGAATGCCAAAAGTGCCATATCCCAACTAATCAAATTTACTCATAATAGTTACATAAACTCAAGAAGAGAAACAGCCATACATTGGGACAACGGCGGAGTTATCCGAACAATGTTGCTATTAATTGCATCAACTGCAAAGAGTTCACCATCCTCCTCAGAAACACGGATCCTATGAGGGATGACCCCAATCTCGTTCCCTTCTACCACAGTCTCAACCACGTAACCATTTTCAAATTGAAGAACATTCCCATCTACAAAAGAAAGAACCAACAAATCACATTTACTCATAGTCACACACACAAACACCTTAACAATGAGCATGTTACACCGAAAACATGTGACCTTTGAAAGTGCTCAATCTCAGTAGAGAAATAGCACCAACCTGAATGTGGCGTCTTGGAGGTAGACCTTGTCCATTTGATGATTGAAGACAGATGCTTAATCAAGGGCCCTGATTCATTAACATTGTTTAATTAAAGTAACAAAAGAAGCAAACATTGTTTGATCAAAGTAACCAAAAAGAAAAAAAAGAAAGAACGACTAAAAAGGCACCCAGTTAGGTATTCAATACCATTAAGCAAAAAGTTAAAAAATTTAGCAAACCCATTTAAAATTATGGCAAGTTGACGCTGTGGGCGAAGTGGGGGAAGAATTTTGTTTACCTGCAGGAGCAGCGTGAGGTTGAAAGCGGTGGGAGAAAGTGAGGGCAAGTGCAATTAGAAGGAACAGGAAGAGAATGTGATTTTTCATAGCTACTTTGGGAATGAACTGAGGTGAAGCTAGGAATAGAAAGAACAACCTGAATTAGGTTGTGCTGTTAGTTTGAGAAACCGCAGCAATAGAAGAAGAAGAAGAAAAGTACTAGTAGCAAGGAAGAAGTGCTGCTACTAGTTTAGGAATGTCACTGGGTCCCTCCATGAGTGTCTACCCATAACTCGATTCCCCGATTTCTTACCGGTTAGATATTTGCATAAAAAACTTCGCAGAATTTTTTAACCGGATATCTTCAACCTACAAATATTTAAAAAATATATTTTATGAATTTTTAAATAAAATTTAAATTAAATTACAAGTTAAAAAGAATAATTTAATATATTTACTATATATTAAAAACAAATACTAACACAAAGAGATAAAAAAATTTAAAGAGAACGCAAACAAGAATACTAAACCCAAATTCTGAAAACAATCGTAATAACGGAAATCTCCAAACCGCAATAACAACCAGGATCTTAAAAAATCCAATTTACATCAATAAACTAAAATCCAAAAAAACTCAAAATACTCATTCGAATCATAACCCCAAAATTGTGTCACCAATCAACAGGAAAGAAATAAAGAAAGGAACTTTCAAAACGCGAATCAAAACTTACAAAAGAAACCCCCCAAAATTAGAGAACAAATAAAACTCTAATTTCAAATCCCAAATAGAAACAAAACATCAATAAGAACCAAGAGAGAGGAAGAGGTGATGGAATCGTACTTGACGTAGTCCTCCTTTTGTATTTTTACTTTTTATAGTTTAGCTCTTAAGGAGCATGGGTTACTATAAATACCC